ACGAAAAAATGCCCAAGAAATATTTGAATTGTTATAAAAAAAAAATCTCTAAAATTATATTTTTTTTAATTTTTAGAAAAATTTTAATTATGCAGTTTTGTAGTGTAATAAATTGAATCGTGTTGCTTTTTAACATTTTTATGGCTGCCGGTGCTCAACAGTTCATTCTTCTTTTTTTTCTTAAAATTTCCTTCTTCTTTTTTTTCTTAAAATTTCCAGTTTCAAGCCACTGTGCGCCGGGGCTTTGAAGTTTTTCATTTATTTCATATGGGGACAGTACAGTTTTTAGTATAATTGCTATAAAATCGTTAAAAATAAATATTTTTTAACAAATAAAAGTATTACCCTTCTGAAAACTTCAGACAATAAAGTTATTAAAAAAAAAAATATTAACCCATTTCAAAGTAAAAAATATGGGTCTTCTTACTTACTCTATAATTCTGTGACTGCAATAAAATTCCAGAAAGTGGATTTTCCTATGTATTTGTATGTGCCGTACGTAACTATGTGTATATTCACCCAAAATGTGGGCATTTTTAATTTTAATAAAAGAATTCAACTCCCTAAACTTATTAGTGCCTGCACACAGGCATAATTATTTAACTAATCTTATATGACTTAAAATCCAAGAGCCGATGTGAATAAATAATACTTAGTATGTGCACGCTACTGTGGCACATATATATTTGCATATTTGCATGACAACATGAAATCTCCTCTGAAGTTATTCCAACGAATTGTCGTCTTTTGACAGCCAAAAAACCCCAAAAAAAAAACCAAATAAGTACTTGGAAATTTATGTGCCACCTTACTTTCGCTGCTGCGGTGATTTTGGTTTTTTATTTCGTTTCTGCCAAAAGTGACTGCCAGTGACACTACCAATGTACAAATGTCCATCAAAAGGTTTGTGCCATAATGAAAACACGGCCAGCAATAAAATAAATAAGTAAAACAAGGCGAAATTCACCTTTGCCGGGTTAAGTGATCGCGTGACACAAATTACATCCGCAATATAGTCACATTTACAAATGCATGCATACATACAAACACTTCTCGGTGTTATACACGTGCTCGCATGGAAGTGATGGAAAAACTATTTTACCATTTTGTACAAGGATGTGCCTCGACACCGAAACATCATTCAAAGTGAAAAGAGATTTCTGAGTTGCTGTGACACGACACGATATACTAAGTATATATGTACATATGCATATACTATGTATGTAAGTATTTATGTAGTAAACTTTCAGTGGCACGTGTTCGCAAATTATCTTAGAATTCGGTATCTAGATAAACTAAAATTTAAAAAAAAAACTTAACATTAAGGGAAGCTGTCTTTGTGGGACCGGGATCAGTTATCGATTTCCTGTATTACATTCTTATAGAAATTCAAGTTGTCATAGGAAAGAAAATTGCTACGGTTTTTATGGATTCAAAATCATCTTATGAGTCAAGCATAGGGAAGAAGGTATTAATAATGCCAAAGAAAACTTCGACGTAATTCTAAAGAAAAAAAACAATGGGACTATATATTCGAAATCTGACTTTTTTGCCTGCAGTATGGCCATCGTAGAAACTATAAGCCTAGCGTTTGGCAAAACCCTATATAGGAAAGATCAAATCAAACTACCACGTTGTACTCTGTATCTCTTTTTAAGAGACCTGACGGCTACAAATAACAAATTTTTTAAGTTGTAAATCGGTAATCAAACTAAAAGGTAAATTTTCGTACTTTTCATCCTACGGGTTTGGACATAAAGCCTACATTTAAATTACTGGCAGATATTTTCGAATCATGTTCACAAATAATTAAAGCCAAATAAATACAATTACGCAAATTTAGCGTACCAAATTATATTTAATCATCAGCTTGACCGTTTTTGGAAATCATTCGTACTTAAAAATATATTTTGAAATGTAAACTTCCTTCTTGAGAATTCTTATAATATATCCATTCCAAACGTTAAAGAGAACTTACATATGAAAAGCTGCCCTGGAAATGCCATTGCATGCTAAGAGCTCTTTTGATGCCAATTAAAATTTTCAGTTAATTCAATGTTAATCCTCTGAACCTCTATCGAAGTAATCTGCCCATCTTCATAGCTAAAACTAAACTTTAATAAAACGATACCTAGCTTATCTCTCTCATGCCATATTATGCATTTTTTCTCATTGTACCAAGGTGTTTTCCTTATTACATCAGTATATAACTTAAGTTTAAAATACAAGTCAAACACACAGTGGTACATCTGTACCAAGAATGTCGGTAGAAGATGTGCGAGGAACGATGTGACAGAAGGGTTAAATTATTAAATAAATAACGAAATCATAAAATAATGCTTACACCGTGAATTAAATTACAATGTAAGAAAAATCTTTGGGTTTTGTAATGACGAAAAACGCTGCAAGC